CAAGGGAGAATACAGACTAGTAAAATAGCTTGGTAGATCACTTTAGCACTCTTGTTTGACTGGTTACTTGACATAAGAAAGAACAAACAACTACATATAAAGACCTGGGCCACCATGTTGCAATACAAAGGTAATTTTGGGGTGACTGTTGGATGGGCTCGTATACTGTACCAAGCCATAATGTGATTGAAAGCTTTGGCTTAAAACTAAAATTAAAAATCAAAACAGAATAGGCGTATCAATCTTCTTTACAGCATTAAATGTTGCTAATCTATTGTGCTTGGAACGCAAACATGGTGGTGTAACAGCTTACTTTAGCAGTTATCTTTATGTAATTATCTTAGCCCACCAGCAAAGCTCAAACTGATGGCCTGTGCCTTCTGCTCCCAGTTCCTAAAAGGTGAAAGCAATGGAAAATTTAATTTATTATCTCCCTCTAACATTTCTCAGGTTCCTAGGGTTTCTCAGCTGCAGTTAAAAAAGCAGTTTGGGAGGACCCAAGAATTTGCAAGATCAGTTGTTAAGCTATACAAGGAACTCCTTAAAAACATTCCAAAAACCCTACATTGTCGTTTATTAACAATATTGCAGAAACATGAACAGGAAAATGATTCTGCCTACGCTGATTAATGCCAGAAAAGCTCCATAAATTCCATCATGGCAGCTATGTAATTTTGGGTTTGCCTGTTGGCTTTCTGGGTACTTCCTATTTTAAACATTTAATTGTTGAATTCCCTGGCAGGCATCTCTGACAAATGTTGTCAACTCAGCACTGACTTTTTGTTTCTCTCCTCCAAAGGCTTGCAAACCTACGGGACCTGGTGGTCTGCCAAGAATGTGGTGCTTAGTGGCTCTGTAAACACACTCTCACCCAAAGGCAGATTAATATATGAGGCTGTGGAGGCTGTTTTAAGATCAAAGCTAGGGCTCTGGTCCGATTCTGATAAAACTATATGATAATGAGATTAAAGAAAACACAGCTAATGCAGCAAATTGTTTGGGAAAAATATGATCAAATGTTGCAAAATTCTCTCCTTCCATTATTATGAGACCTGTCTCCAGAGAGACTTGATTCAAAGGAAGTAGCTAATATCTCTCATGAGGCAAATCAGTTGACTTTTCAAATTAATGATTTCTTTTTTAATCAAAGATGGTTAGCTGAAGGATATGGCCTCCTAGAACAGAGGCATTGATTTCCTAATCTAGCCGCAAGAGGAACAGTTCTCACAGACGAAAGAGAAAACACAGGAGGAATTCTGGGGATGGATGTGTCTTGGGCGATATAAAGTCCTTGGGGTTAATTTTAAATTCCTCTTGTAAGAATTAATTCAAATAATTGGAAAGAGAGACTTGTCCCTCTTCTAAAGATCAGAGGTAAGGAGGAAGGAATATGGTCCTTGTCAAGGTTCTCACTATAGTAATCTTTTATTGCAGAACTGCCTAACTCCTGGGTCATAGCCCAACACCACACCTTGAGCCATTTGGAATGGGGCTGCAAAAGTGGTGGGCCCACTGCTCTTGTGGAACCATCCTCTTTCCACCAGTCCGCAAAGCTGGAAATGTTGGGGAACTCTTTTCTATTGCACCTAGGAGAAACTATTATCTATTTATTAATTTACAAAATTTATTGGCCTCCCAACTTATCTCAGGGTAACTCTGGCTGTCTTACAATCATAAATACATCAGGTAACTAGTTTTTGGAGAAGAAAGAAAATAGCTTCAGCTTCATTCAGAAGTCAACCCTTGCCCTTAATCATACATTAAACTGGGAAGTATGAATGAAGCAGACGTGTTTTGGATTCTGCTAGCTGTTTCTCTTCCCCTCTCTCAACAATTACCATCTAAACCAGGGGTGTCAAACTCAAGGCCTGCGGAGAAAATCCAGCCTGCAGGGTGCTTAGATGTGGCCCGCAGGGCCGTCCTAGAAACAGCAAAGGACCAGCCTGCAATGTCTCTGCCAGTGAAAACAGATCTCGGGAGGCTGCGACGGCCTCCTGCAGCCCTCTGCCAGTGAAAATGGAGCTCGGGAGGGCCGTGTGTGCTCCCGAGCTCCATTTTCACTGGCAGAGGGTTGCAGGAGGCTGTTGCAGCCTCCCAAGATCCATTTTTGCTGGCAAAGCACTCAGGCCACCACCGGCGCCCCCGACACAAGTGACGTTGAGCTGGCCATGCCCAGCCCATCCCCAAGATCAAATACAACCCTTATGCGGCCCTCAATGAAATCGAATTTGACACCCCTGATCTAAGCTATGGAGTGGCTCTATGGAGTAATCGGCCTGCGTTCTCCTTATATACCTCAACTGCAACTCTTAGCAGTCCCAGTCAACATGGCTATTAGTGACAAATATTAGAAACAACAGTGCCAGAACATCTGGAGAACTATAGGTTCCCTATTCCTGAAAGAGTATAGTTGAAGAGAAATTTAATTATGGCTTCTGAACTGCAGCTCAGACTGACTTCTAGCACATTCAGCACACAAACCAATGCACTATCTATTTAAATCTAGGTCCCCGAGTGTGATTGACTCACTAACTGAAGTGAAAATAATTTGATAAATCCGTGATTTACTGCAACGACAGATACAGATTTACTGTGTGGCTATATACCTCTTAAAATCATAAAATAAATTTCAGTGCAAAGTCCATGTAACATTTGGCAGACTGTTCTGAAGTTGGGATTTGTTTGTTTTTTTGGCACTGTTATTTCAAATGAAAAAAAATGCATAAAAGTTAAACTGTTACCAGTGAGCAAACTTTGTCACTATTCCTTGCATCTGCCCCAAACGTATTCTCCTGTAAACGAAATATTGTTTTAAGAAAGAGTTAAATTACTTCTCTTTAAACTTTTCTGCCTATCTTAGTGATGCTTTCTGTTTGATTTTCCAGACAATTTCTCCTATGATGAAAACTCGATAGAGTCAATACTAATTAAATGAAACCATCTCTACGACAAGCCAATGTACTTTTCTCATATTGTGTCTTTTTAAATCAGAATTAAGGTAGTTTATTTCCCCTTTAATGAACAGGGAAAAAATCAATATAGAGAGAGGAAAGCAATAGAACAGAGGTGGTTTCAAAAAACCATTTCTTTGCTTTGCAGTTGTTGAGTTGAGAAAGCAATTCTGAAGGGATAGGCCAGGGCTCTGGCTATTACTCTATATTTGTTTCCACTTTTCCACACTGGATAGATATGTCTACAGGCAACAGAAAACGGTCTGGAACCTCCTGAAGACAGATGGTCCTGTGATCATTTATAATTTGGAGATACGTAAAACGGAATATAGCAAAACCTACTTTTATGAGTTCTTCCACAGCTGATCTAAAACCAAACGTGGAAGGGGTGAGAGGAGAAAAGGATGAAAAAAGGAGATTCATAATTATTCAGGGATATCCTGCAGTGTCCATTTTTTCATAATGTGTCATCTGAGGTAATACTATTAGCTGTTCTTTTGAATTAACAGCCAGTCATGAAAATAGAAGTTACAACTGAATAATTTTTTTTTTAATTTGAAAAATTTAAAACAGAAATGAAGATTTAGTGCTCATAAGGATATCTATCTAATTTTCTTGGGTTTTTATTTGTTAAATTTGGTTTTATTTTAAATTAATCTATTGCAGTAATTTCAAAAGGAAAACACAGAATAGATAATGTTCCTTGTTTTTAGTTTGTGTTAATTTTTTTTTAATTTTAATCCATTTTTGTATTTATAGTCATTTGAAATTTTATTTTATTTGTTGTAAGCTTTTCAGAGTTGTCTGAATTATGAGATGGGGAGAAAATAAATTTGAGAAACAAATAAATAACAATTGGAAAATGCAGTGCCCATACAACTCATGATAAACCACAGGTTAGTGTGGAGAGAACAGACTGACTCCATTCGTCCCCTTTCAAGGTTTTTAGCAATAGAGATAAACAATAAGCCTTCTGACTGCTGTCAATTCAGTTCATCAGTGAAATCAAGCCATAAATTGTAGTTACTGTATTTTTCGGACTATAAGACGCACCGGTGTATAAGACACACCATGATTTTGAAGAGGTAAGCAAGAAAAAAGTGTTTGCCCTCCCCGGTCCCCAGGAGCACTCTGCAGCCCTCCCAAATCCTCTGTGCGCCCAATTTTTGCGAAAATCGGGCCCATTTTTTGCAAAAATAGAACAAGCGGGAGGCCAAAAATGGCTGTATTGAGTGTATAAGATGCACCAACATTTCCACCCTCTTCCAAAAAGTATGGTAATATTAATAATGGTTAGTATAAAACTAGCCTCAACCACTGTACTAATTAAATCTGACTATAGTTTGCCTGATTTGGATAGCTCATAGTAAAACATACATAGAAATAAAAATTGGCAAACAAAAAAGGAGGGGGAGGCAGCAGTGGCAATTGTGTACAAATCCAAGATCTCTACAGACGTAGTACTTGTCATGAGAAACTATGGTTCACACTGCCTGAAATACAGCAGTCAAGGAAATCCTGCAAAAAATAAATAAATCAGTCCTAAATATATCCATATACCGGTAAGTACAGGTAGTCTCAACTTACAACAGTTCATTTAGTGACCATTCAAAGTTACATCACCACTGAAAAAAGTGATTTATGACCGTTTTTCACACAACTGTTTTAGCATTCTCCATGGTCACATGATTTATATTTGAATGCTTGACAACTAACTGACATTTATGACCGTTGCTGTGTCCCAGGGTCATGTAATCGCCTTTTGTGACCTTTTGACAAGCAAAGTCAATGGGGAAATCAGATTCACTTAACAACCATGTTATTAATTTAACAACTGCAGTGATTCACTTAACAAATGTGGCGAGGAAAGTCGTAAAATGGGGCAAAACTCACTTAACAAATTTTTCATTTAACAACATAAATTTTGGACCCAACTGTGGTCGTAAATTGAGGATTACATGTACCGAAGATCTGTTATTTTCAATTAGCCACCTCTATTGGAACTGGCTCGTTTCTTTACTGTTTCATTACACTACTGACTTTACATACCACATCTGGGTTGAGCCTGAAGGCCAAAGGAAGAGAATAAAATAAGGAACGAATGGTGGTTAGCAGTGAAGAGCTCCAGGACTGACGGACCTCTCGACTTCTGGGAATGCGATGGAGGGCAAACTGTAATTCCTGGGGAGAATTGACAGATTTGTAGATAAGAATCATTCGGGTATACTAAACATTATTTCCTGTACTGTAAAACTCTCGGCTATATAAACAGTTGATAGATAAAGAAGACATTCCAATTTGAATGGGCTCCTGCTTATTTTCGTTGCATTCCAGCATCCAATTGTCATGAGCCACGAGAGATAATTCTGCAAAAAACCCAAAGGAGAAAGAATCTACATTTAAGGTCCCTCCCCAAAAACATGGAAGGAATCTCAGCAAATTTAAGACAACCTTTCCAGCTCAAAGATAAATTCTTTGAAAAAGAAACAAATCTTCCTTTCAGGTAACTAAACTAATAATCCGTGCTGAATTTCTTGTGACCAAGACTTTTCTTTCTTCAAAGCAGCATTTAGGAAAAATCTTTTGGTAAAACCTTGAGAAATATAGAGCTAGGCAGCCTAGACCAATCTTATATTTAATAGCTCATTTGCAACTACCAGTATTATCTCTACAAGGAGTGACCAGGTGGTATATCCTGCTGTTTGCTTAATTTCCACAGGTTTAAAAAAGAATTATCCTGCACCAAAGTTCCTTCCAATTCTATGATTCTGTTCCTCAGAAACTTATTACAATTAACTCCCACAGCTTCCTTGGCAGGAAGCTATGTTTGTTTTTCTGGTAGATTATTTCATTTTCTGTAGGGCCATGGAATGCTGTGACCTTTCCTGCAGCTAGCATGCAACCAGCCTCTCCAGGTTACCAAAAACAAGTGACTTTTTTGAGTGATTTTGGGAAGGTTGGCATAGATGTAACACACAGCACTAGATCAAGTGCCCCATCTGGTGGACAACTGTTAGTAAGACTCCAGCCTTTTCCTCCTATAATCCCCAAGTCATCCAGACACACACTTAAAATCAAGGTATTTGGTTATCTCTGAGCAGTCATTGAGCTTAAGAATTTGTTTTCAGAACTGAATTCAGTCTTTCAGAAAAAGAAGTCTAATCTGGGTTACTTTGAATTTTCTTCATTCAGCAGCCTCTTCTCTCTCCCTACCCCTACACACTTACATTCATGTCTGTTTGTGCATCTACCCATCTAATTCTATGATATTTATTGTAAAATGGGAGTTTAAGATCTTGTTGAGCTATTACAAATAACTGTCTGTAAATTCTGATCTACCTTTAGTCCACTTGTTTTTTTTTTTATGACCCTATAATCCCTTTTATTGGGGTGGAGTCAGGCTATTGGAGCTGTGCATTTATTGGCCAGACGTCCTTCCTAACGCCTATATGGAGTTGGCAGCAGATATTTTCTCTTTATGCCCTGATAGAGAAACATCTGCTATTGCCTAGGATTGAACTCTCAGCCTCCTGACTGTGTGGCAAGCATCTTCACCTCTAAGCCACCACATCTCTCAGTCCATTTCTGGGTTAACAACATGAAATTACATCTTCTGAGTTCATACCCTCTTAGAAGTACCTAACAAGCTTTGAATATTACTTGGCATTAATGTTTAATCTTAGATTTATTTCAGGTAGATTCCATAAGTACAAAACAGAACCACACCAAAACACACTCTGTATCTTTGCAATCAGACCTAAAACGAATCAAGCATACAATAATAACCGTCAGATGAAATCACAAAACCATCTTTTACTACTCAAAGTCTAGCCTAGGGAAGTTCCTAAGGAAACTGAATAACTATCACATAGCTGACAGCCCCATGGGACAGGTCTCCGATCTTCTGTCTACATCATTTCCAGCTGGTCAGAGGAAAATGTGACTGGTGCAACATGCTCATAAAGTTGTCCTTCCAGCAGAAGGTACTTAAGAGACCATCAACATTCAGAGCTTGTTCTGGAGATAGATAGCCTTGCATAAAAATGTATCTTTTTTGGATTGTTATTTTATGTTTTTGTTCTTTTCAGAGGTAAAATACATAGTCCCTGAGTTACAACCATAAATGAAACTGGAATTACAGTCGTAAGTTGTGATGGTCGTAAACTCAGTCATCACATGACTGGATTCAATTTTACCACCTTTTTAGTAGTGGTTGTTAAGCAAATGTGATGGTCTTAAAGCAAACATCATGACTGTTAAACAAACCCATTGTTCACTATGGGGCTTTTTTTCCCCAGAAACCAGAAGTAAACACCAACTTCTGGAAAAATGTCATAAACTGCAGCCGCATGACTGCAGACCGCTGTAAACAGTTATAAATATGAGCCAGTTGCTGAGGCCCCAAAATGCAGTCATGTGGCTATTGGAAAGGTCCTGGACATAACTTCAGAACTGAGTCGTAAGTAGCTTTTACGGGGGTCCTTCATAACTTTGAAGGTCATTAAGTGATTAGTCATAAGTCAAGGACTACCGGTATCAACGGAATGTTGCATTTATAGTTATACAATTCTATTTCAACTACCGTGTTTCCCCAAAAATAAGACCCTGTCTTATATTTTTTTGAACCCCGAAATAAGCGCTTGGCCTTATTTTTGGGGAGATCTTATTATTATGGGGCACATGGAGCAAGACAGGGCTCCTCTTGCCATCTTACTTGATTTCAAGCCCTGACTCCCTAACCCTAACTAGAGGAAATAGTGGGGCCCGGCTGCGCACGCGTTTAAATATTTTTGAGGAGGGCTTATTTTCAGGGGGCCTTATTTTAGCGCATGTGTTCAAAAGCCCGATTGGGCTTATTATCAGGGGATGTCTTATTTTCAGGGAAACAGAGAATTTGTCATTAAATTGCTTTAAATATTGATTCCTATGGAAAATGGGACTCCCATGGCAGTCCAAGGGCTATAGCGAAAGGGGGAAAAGTCCTGATACGTCACGTGACGCCGCCATGATGACGTGAGTTTGACACCCCTTCGCTAAACCGGGCGTGGGCATGGCCAGCATGTGACACATCCGGCCATGGGCCAGGAGTTTAACAGCCCTGGTTTAGGCTAAAAAGAACTCAATCGCTTTAAATAAGAAAAATTAAACAATTCACACATTCCTCACAGAGACACGTTTGCATTCATATTATGAAGTAATTTTCACATGTTACTACTCCACTTCTGTTTGGATTTAAAAATAATTTCAAAAATGATTTATTTTTCCCCAACTTACTACAGGAGGCAGCATGCAGCCAACTATAGTTGACTGAAAATGCTAAACACAATTACATTTAGTTGCTACTTGGACCAGTAATTACCAGCACTGAAGACTAGATAGGGAAGTTGAAAAAACATTTCAGGAGAATGTAGTGGCAAACTAGTTCTTTACTACTCCCTTAAGAAACCTACATCCACCTGTGCAACCGTCAAGAAACCTACATGCACATGTGATCAGGTTTGAATCAAGAATTTTTCACCTTCATTTCCCACTCCCCGCTCTCCACACACATTCACAGCTTCCACTGATTTAAAATCAGAATGTGTACATTCTGTACACATAAGTTAATAAGTTACTACAGCAGTAACTTATTTCATGATCAGTAGAGGGTGCTATGACACTGAGACTCATACTTAGGGACAGGCCCCAAAATTTTGTGAGTTGAGAAAAGAAAAAAGAAAAAAACCAAGGAAATTTAAAATTTAAGAATCAAAAAGAACACCAATAGCGAAGGGGCATGAAGAAGAAACAGGCAGCGCAAGCAGGATAAGAAAGGAGAATAAGAGAGAAGCAGAGAAAACAAAGTGATGAAAAACTAAACAAAAAGGGATGACATATAGCAAAGTAAGAAAGCGGGAAAATTAATATCAGGCAGATCTTCAGAGTTCACACCAGATCCCTTAGTATCTTGAACTCTGTAAACCACTGGTCTTTTCCCCTTTTCCAGTATATGATCTAGTGTTTCTTTAAAGTCGCCAAGCAATCTGAGATGTCTTGGTGATTGACTCTTATTCTTTGTGCTTAATCTAAAAACGCTCAATCATTGGAATGTTGTCCTAAACAAAATGAATGGAACATGTAGAAATACTAATGAGGAGGAAAATGCCATAAAATCCTTATTTCCTAAGTCCAGTGTCACTTTTGTAGACACGGATCCAAAGCAAAGATTGTGGGGTCCTTGGTGGTCTCTAAGCTTGGTGGTTTTCTTGCAGATGTTTCATTGCCCAACTAGTTGAGTAATGAAATACTGTATCTGTAAGAAAACCACCAAGCTCAGAGGGCACCAAGGACCCCACAGTTCAATCCTGAGCCACAAATATTCTCTTCTAAAGCAAAGATTTAAAGTAAGATATCAAACTAGGTTGAATATCTTGAGCCGTGGTGGCACAGTGGTTAGAATACAGTACTGCTGACTACTTCTGCTGACTGCTGGCTGCCAGCAAGCAGTTCGGCAGTTCAATTCACACCGGCTCAAGGTTGACTCAGTTTTCCATCCTTCTGGGGTTGGTAAAATGAGGACCCAGATTGTTGAGGGCAATATGCTGACTCTGTAAATGGCTTAGAGAGGGCTCTAAAGCACTGTGAAGTGGTATATAAGTCTAAGTGCTATTGCTATCTTTCATACACTAGAATGGGTAGTCCACTGTCCTGAACACCAGTTTTCTATTTAATTTTATTGCCCAAATGATTAAAAGGCAATTTAATTAGTGTTCTTACTCAATGTAGTAGCAGATTAAATAAAGTTCATGATTGGAAATGCAATCCCACATGTGGGAAATCCTATTTCAGAAGACAAATTTCATCTCCTTTCACACAAAAGACTTTTGTGAGTTGAATAAGGTACAAAATTAGAAATGTGTGTGTAACATCCTATTCCAGCTAGATAAATATACACAGGAGTTCCTCAATCTTTCAGTCTTCAAATGGGTTGGATCAGTTTATGTAGTCTTCAGCCAGCACGGCCAAAGGCCTTGCTGCCCAGAGGATTATAGCAGTTGGAGTTCAATTCATCTGGAACTCATCAGGTTACAGTAGTCTGGGCTAAACATCTGCTAATAGTCATGTTGGTGGATTATAAATGTCTAGCACTTCTATGAAGTCAGGCTGGAGAACATAATTTTGAAATGTGGCTACCAATCTTACTGCTAGTAGAAAAGCATCATGATGCCAGGACACAAATGTAATTTTCTGCTTAAACTGCAGGAATATTCTATGTATCTCCAGGGTGAGTAATCCAAACAAACAAAACAATGAAGGGCTAGAAAAGCATTATTTGAGGGAAAGCATTCTAGACTCTTATCGCTATATAAAACAGTCCGAAGAGAAAGTTCACATTATGTTAGCCCATATTTTTATTATACAGCTATGGCTGAACAGGATAGTTGAGCCCTAAGCAAATGTGAGGTTGCTTTGGATTGGAAACTGATCTCCCCTATTCTGGTGCTCTGGTGCTTTTGGGTTTGCATGTTATGCTAATTTATCTTGTGAATCATGATGTTTGAATAGAGCCAGAGAATAATCCTACATAGTCTACTTGGACTCACTGAGTTCAAAGGGACATTATTTCCAAGAAATGTATATAGGATTGCAACCTTGTGGCTTGGAATACTTCCAATAGTTCACTTCACTTCCCCATGAATAATGAAATACCACTGGGAAACAAATTGAAGCGTATAAAAGATCATGGCTACAGTCCCTCCATCCTGTTCCCCCATACCCAAACTCACAGCAATTTAAGCCCTGTCAAGTGTTTCACTTTGGTCTGGAAATTTTAAGAAAAATAATATCTGAATATGTTTAATAGATTATCTCAAGAATTTTAAATACACAGTGACAAATGTGTAATGAGCAATTAAAGGAAATTATTCATGAGTCAGTTCAACAATGCAAAACATCGCAAACCCCCAATGCTTAACCAATCTGTTCTGATGCTTAGGCTATGCCATTTTTAACATTTTTTTTTATTGCTAGAATAAAGGCAAGCAGATCTCAGGCTTGTGGACCCAGGATTCATCAAGCAGTTTGATTAAAAAAGATATACCCTTGAACTATAGCATATTAAGCCCAAGGAATTATTTTGAATAAATGGACTGATAGAACTGAGGATCTCTCCTTACAGAACCCAACAGTTATTTACTATTTTCCCCTTCTTTTCAGTAATATAATTAATAGGAAAATGTGTTACTTATTTTCTAATAACTGTCAGCTATCTATATAGTAAAATATCTGTTAGCCCTATAACTGTGATGGCGAACCTATGGCATGCGTGCCCAAAGTGGCACACGGAGCCATATCGCCTGGCACGCCCGGCGTCACCTATTCCTCTTCTGGGTTTCTGGCGTGCATGTGCACATGACGATCAGCTGGCCTTTGTGCGTGGGGCATTGCCGGAAACCAGAAAAGCTGGTCTTCCATTTTCTGGCGTGAGCATGCGTGCCGGCTAGCTGATCAGCGTGTGCACATGCACAGCAGTAACCGGAAGACTTGCTGGCCAGAAGTTCATTTTCCGGCGCACACATGCCCCCTGGGCAGCTCCCCTTCCTGGTCATGTCCCAGATGAGTGCGTGCTCCCTTTTCGGCACTCGGTGCCAAAAAGGTTCACCATCACTGCCCTATAAGGTAGCCCAGACAAGAAGCCTCAGCATTATTTTTATTGTAAGGTTACATTAAACAGAATCTTGCAAGACTGAAAAAGTATTTTGCCTCTGCTGTACTTTTAGTCTCTGGAAAACTAGGCAATGTCCCCTCTAAAACGGTTCCCTTGCCTTTCCCCCACACCTATGGACTGAACTATGGTGGCGCAGTGGTTAGAATGCAGTATTGCAGGCTACTTCTACTGACTGCCAGCTGCCAGCAGTTCAGCAGTTCGATCCTCACCAGCTCAAGGTTGACTCATTCTTCCATCCTTCCAAGGTCAGTAAAATGAGGACCCAGATTGTTGGGGGCAACGTGCTGACTCTGTAAACCGCTTAGAGAGGGCTGTAAAGCACTGTGAAGCGGTATATAATTGCTATTGCTATTGCTATTGTTCTTATCAGACAGCTCATCTCATCTTTGGGTCTTCCCACACATCATAACATCTCCCTGAGGAGTCAGCAGAAGATCTACATCTATGCTTGGCACATGTTCCATGCTAGAAATAGTCTAGCTCAAAACAGGGGTAGGGACATTTGTTTTCAAGCAAGCATGCTACAGGGCTACATACCATTAGTCAGGTTCAAGCATGTAACTTCAACATGTTTGTTTGAAGTTTCACCCTTAGGTTGTTCTAAAATGTCCCAATCTTCTAGGCTTCAGGGGGTATTTTAAATAGGCACCACGTGTATTGAAAGCTTCACTGCACAGTGAAACATGGAAGCATAAAGGGGATCCCAGCTTGAGAAAAGGATTTATGTCATTCAGCAGCAACCTTTTCAAGAAAATGCTCCCTTAGTCATAAACTTGGGAAGAAATAGGAGACCTCACTCCATTTGGCCTAGAGATCAAACATATCCCATTCCAATACATGCAAACAGTACAGATTAGAGATATAAGGCAGAGCCAAAATTTCTAGGACAAGGATGTCCAACATTGGTAACTTTAAGACCTGTGGACTTCAAAATTCCCCAATCAGCCATGGGGGACCCACCATCCACAAGTCTTAAAGTTGCCAAGGTTGGACACCCCTGTTCTAGAAAGACAGCTGTTTCTGCCTTTCTATGTTGTTTTATGTTTGGATACAGATGCTTCAAGATTATCTCAAAATCAGCTCCCTTCCTCTGGAGTTAGGTGTTTAGTGAAGTTTTCTCTGGCCTGCATGGAAGACAGACAGACAGACACACACATACACACACACACCCCAAGTTAATGAGAAAAGTGAAAAATTTAGGGATGGAACTTCAGTGCAAATTGGGGAAAGGTACATTATTTTAACAGGAAATGTGACATTACTATTTAATAAAATATGAACAATCAGAAAAATAGCTATAAAAACTCACCGAGGAATCGGGGTATTTTGCAGCTCTTTTCTCTTCAAAAGAACGGATTTTTTCTTCACTCATCTTATCTGAATCAGCCAAAACATAATGCCTGGGAGAGTATTTTTTGGAAAGGCTGTTAAGCAGCCTTAAGATTTCTGTAGTATGTCCTCCTGAAAATACAGAGTTAACTTCTGTAAGTTCCACAGACTTAAGAGTAAGATTTTTTCTCATTCTGTTGATTTACTTCTGAATAGGCTCACCCCTTTTGTTGGCTGGATTTTACAAACCATACTTATCCACAATTAACTTAAATGCAGTTTCCTTAATTAACCCAATTCTTTCTTTCCTTGACCACTGAACAATAAACTAACCACAAGGCCTTGTTCAGCAAGCTAAACTATGTAGTTGGTTAGTTTGTGGTTCACTACGATATCTAGAACAACAAGACCAGGCAAGTAATAGTTGCCACTGTCTCCAGTTATTCACCTGTCCCTTTCCACTCCAATTCTGTTTGCTAACATATTGTCTTGGGCTAATGGAACAGAATGACTGAACCAAGAATGCCTGCACCAAAGGAAATGGAGAGGATGACCAACTTACCTGTTTTGTTTCACTGAATGGGAGGGAGCGGAAGGAAGAGAAAGCAAGAGGTGGCAAAGCAGATTTCACTTTGCTTACCATCAACTACTAGCTGGTATGGAACACTAGCCAATTCAAAGAGACAGGGATTGTGAATGCCCATATAGTACCAAGCTGTAATTTATTTTACGAAGAGACAGTGCCCATGTAGTGCTAAGCTGTGATTAGTTTTAACGAGTTTGAGTAAATTATATTGGCCTAATGTGACATCAAACTAAACCATAAACTATGGTTTACAAAAGGCAAATTCTGAATGTAGGTATTCTGAATCAAAATCAAACAAACCATATTTGATATGATGTGTGAACTTTACTAACAAATATAAAAAAGCTTTTTTTCCTCCCCAGCAAGAAAAGAGGACCAAATACCAGTCAGAACACCGCTTCTAAGTGGAAAATTCTCCCTGTCTCAGTGCAAGAGAGCAGAGGTAGGTTGTCTTTTCCTTATAGGTTTTCCTGCTTCCCAACCTCAAGAGAAAGGCAATGGGAGGGAGAAGGAACTTTGCTGTTTTATAATGTTGGCTGCAGAGCAAAGAAAAAAAGCAGACTAGAACTCACTCTGGAATTCAAAAGTGGCTATACAGATAGCCCTTGACTTACGACCACAATTGAGCCTAAATTTTCTGTTGTTAAGTGAGACATTTGTTGAATTTTGCCCCATTTTACGACCTTTCCTGCCACAGTTGTTAAGTGAATCATTGCAGTTGATAAATTAGTAACCTGGTTGTTAAGTGAATCTGGCTTCCCTAGTGGCTTTGCTTGTCAGAAGGCTGCAAAAGGGGATCACATGACCCTGAAACACAGCAAAGGTCATAAATATGAGTCAGTTGCCAAGTGTCTGGATTTTGATCACATGATCACGGGGATGCTGCAATGGTCGTAAGGGTGAAAAACGGTCGTAAGTCACATTTTTCAGTCCTGTTATAACTTTGAACTGTCACTAAACAGTTGTAAATCGAGGACTACCTGTATAAAACATTCTTTTTCAAATACTTAGGTAGGTAGACATACTTCCACTAAGATGCCATTGTAATATTTCCATCAGACTACACCAAAAACCAGAGTTGGTATAGCCAGAAGGTTGGTCTAAAACTGGAGACACCCAGGTTCAGATTACCCTGGGTCATGCTAATCTCATGCTATTAACTATTATTGTCAAGGAAGAATTAAGCAATTGGAATTAAGAATTAAAATCACGAATGGAGGCGTGATATTCTGCCTCTAAAATATTAGCCGGAGAACCCCTCGATTCCTTTCTAAACAGACATCACCCAATTAATCCCAAGCAAAATTTCTTCGAAGAAACTACAATTTCCAGCATCTCTAGCAAGCACAGCCATCAGCATCAAGAATGCCTCCTTGCTGTAGCGGCTTGCTTTGCTTCTTGGGTAATGTAGTCCGGATGGCCACAGCAACCGGTGGTAATTGACTGTTTTCTAGCTTTTTGTCTTACCAGAACCGGCAACCACCAGGAGTTTGACATCAGCATTAGGAGTGACAGCAGGACGTCGCTTCACAAACCGCAGGACGAAAAGAATCAGCAAAGGGAAAAAGAAGACTGAGACGCCCAGCTTTGCCCAAAACGACCATTCCATATCCAGGCCGTCATTCGACAAACCTCCCCAGTATTGTAGGAAGCTGGAGGGGAATTACGGGAGCCGAAGCAGTTCAAAATATGGCAGACACGTTCTGCTGCTCGTTCGTCAAAAGTGTTTTCGTCACCGTTCCCTGGGGGCTGTTGTTGTTTTTGCAAGCGTTGATTGTATATAGTTGCAATGCTTCTTTCAAAAAAAAAAACAAACCGAAAATATTTTCGAAATGGATAGAGAGACAGAACGGCTTAGAGTTGTTTTAAGCGCACGACAGGTGAAAGAGAGATGAGCACTGACGGCAACGGCTAGCAGAGTAAAATCCACAGGGACTCCTTTACCCTTATGACACATGTGCTTTTTTCCTATTAGCTTATGGTGAGAATGGCAGTCATCATTTTTGTGTTCTGTGGTATTTTAGTGAAATAAAACAACCTTATTAGGAACATAAGACTGAAGAAGGTCCATTCATCAAAGATATAAGACTGTCCTAGTGTTTGGTGTTTTGTTTTGTTTTTTTGCTAGGCAATATTAAACCGCATATATTATTGTATCTTAAAAAATTATAATTTACAAGGTATATGAAATGGATTGTGGACAGGTAGACTCTCCCTTTTTAAATATAATGCCAAGGTGCCAAGTGATGAAAGTTCATCATGAAAACAATACAAATACCATGACAACATAATTGTGTCAAAAACCACAAATACACTAATACAGATGTAGCAATTGAATCATAATGTCACTAAAGGGGTGTTAATTATGATGCCATTGTGATTTGCTGTAGACTCTGCTGTTTGGGATGCTGCTAAAAATATTACTTTATATTGATGAAAAATCTATAGCTGACCTAAAAGCCTGGATGGATGACATGTATTCACTTCCACCCCATGAATTGGCTTTCTATCAACTTTGTGGAAAATCTGACCATAATTTGGCCTGGTTAATATTTTTCTTCTTTTTGCTTAGACATTAAAATCAATCAGTAATAAATTCATATCTGTTTAAGGAACACCTTTCTTCTGAATCTATATAAAAAAAGCAATCCAACACCAGAATTTCCTCCCCCCCAAACATTTTTATTTTCTTTGGAATGGCCCACTCCAAATCTTCCAGCAGTGGTGCATGCAATTACAAAATTATCTGGATTATCTGGAACAGAAAGTGCTTTGTGGTATTCAAAATATATCTACTCAATATCTCTTCACAAAAATTCACAACATATACACATATGAAAACAGAAATTTTAATACATCATAATAGCTGATCAATGAAAGCTTTGGCTACACATATGAACATTTGAAATGAAGTAATTGGAACTACTATATGCGTGAGATGCAGCCTTTATCAACATTTTTTGGTGTGTTAGGTTCTTAGCTAGGTTAGTGAGAGGAGCTGTAGAGAGGGAGGGAGGGAGGAGGAGGAGAGAGAGAGAGATGATAGATAAATAGATAAGACAGACTCATGCTATAGTATCTTCCATAGCCAAGTGATAATCCATAACTATATACTTTTATCTTAGTACAGTATTCTAAGCTCTAAATCAGAGTTCCATAACAGGCTACGAAGCCACATGATCCCCTCAAAAGCTTCAGATATGGCCCCAGAGCTCTCCCACATTTGCTATTGAATTGTTCATTTCAAGTTATCCAACACAGAAATTATTAAATATGAGAGAATTACTGTAAATCTTTTAAATTGATTAAAATTAAATACATTCCATTGTAATTAATGCATTGAAATATTGTTTTAATTAAGTACAACTTTTGTTTGGACTGCTCTATTTTTTTTCTTGGTCTTCTATTTCAAGGCCCAGGGCAACCCTTGGCTCAAAGAACAAATTCACTTTTTTTCTAAACCTGTAATTTATTCTTCTCAATGGAAAATCTTTGCAAATCCTTAACTTAGTCTAAAGCACTGGGTGAGGCTTAATTTGTACTTCCTTTCAATAATCTTGAAAAACAGAGACCAGAAAATTAGAAGTAGGCTTTTAAGCTGATTTTAAGTTCCTGTTCCTATTGGTGTAGCATAAACAGTGCTGCTACCGAAAGAGAATACTTTTGCCTGTCTTCATTATGTTTAAAGGCTAAATTTGCCAGTAAGCAAAGATCAATTGGTTTTATGCACAAAATTAATATAAAGTTGTTAAAATGTTGTCTAAAATGCAATCGCATTTAAAATATAAATGTCATGGAGAGACAAGTTTGCTTTGGATAGAATACTTCATTTATTTGTTGCAGGGTATCTGTATTAGGGGTGAGTTCTACTTACCTTTACTACCGGTTCACAATGGGGCCATGCACGCGGATCATCATGTATGACATCCAGGTGGGTGGGTGGAGCCTCCCGCTGATTTTACTACCGGTTCTATAGAACTGGACAGAACCGGGAGCAACTCACCACTGATCTGTATGTTGTTATTATTTATTGTTATCATTCATTAAATTTATATATCACCCATCTTATTATTCGGGCAACTCTGAGTGGCTCTTTTTCGAGGACTTCTATCTCTATTATTTTTCTCACACTGAAATTGTTGAATTATTTTCCTTCCATGTCTACTGATGTGTTGCATTAAAAACTTCTATAATGGCTACCAAACATGGACCAAGTTTGTGTGCGAATTTTGGGCATTCTAATACAACAGGGCACAAAATTGGGGAAGCTATTTTGTCTTTTTGAAGAGACATGAATTATTTGTTCATAATTTAAATTTCTAAAGTCACCTGGTCATTGATGATGATGCATTTACAAGGATTAAAAAAAAACTATGCAATATGTTAATATACATTTTGATATGCATAGAGCATTTCGGATCTCTTCTTCCATATAAATTGTATGCTTTGGACTGCAGATCTGTGCAAACTATATATAGTAAGAATAACCTTGGGTAGGCTCAATTTTTACAGGTGTTTTATTATTGTTTTATGATGGCAGTAACAACATTTCTGATCTTGAAATGGGAATGTTATTATTTATCCACTATCTTGACTTTTCTTTTTCATTTTGTTATCTGCTTGATAGTGCAACTACCTGTAGCGGTAGGTAGGTTTTGCCACAAATCTGTCTGTACATGCTCAGACATGGTATAATCCATGGAAATTAAAATGTAATTAAAAGGAAAACCAGCATTCAGCCGGGGGTTATTTTGATTCTTCTCTCTTTTTTCTTCCTTCAATTGATTAAAATTGATTAAAAATCAATTGATTAAAAGCTACCTCAGTACCTCTGCTAGTTAACTTGTTTGATCAAACTGAATATGCAGGATGTGATTGATGCTTCTAAATGTAGTCCCGATCTGAATTCAGACCCCTCCCTGCCCACTGCATTAACTTTGATCCCTATCCATAGATTTCTTTGGATTGTGACAGACAGAGCAACAGTAGTTTTAACAGTACAGGGCTTTAACAGTACCCACAGCTCCCTGACAGTAAGCAGCATTGATAAATGATGGATGAGAATGCTCCTCATCTTTGAAGAGATCTGTTCCTTCAGACCTGGCATGTTATTTGTAGAGAAATATGAGTAGGCTGTTCTTTCAGCCATTTCCTCTGCTCCTGCTTTTCTGCATCAGACCTAAGGCCGGGCCTCTGCTGCTCTGCGTCTTTCCTTATCTCTGTGTTATAAATGCACCAGCCACTTTCAACCTCTTTGGTAATTAAAATGTGTATGTACTCACTTATTGACCATCTGGTGGATTTAATTTTTTCCGGTACCAGGATGTTTGTGCCTAGTAATCAAGCCCAATTATAAATCATTTAACATTCATGAACCTGGGACTATATTGTTCTCTGATTTTGCCTCTCAGACACACATCCAGATCTCATTGGCTTTCATTTTTTTCAATTGTTTTAATGAGAGTTGGCAAAATCTCTGATCCATAAAGTAGGTTATAAGGCTTCGCAGTAGAGTAATTGTGCCTTGGGCATTAGCCTATATTTTGGGTATCTTCTTCAGATTTTATGTGTTGCTTTAAAACAAGCTGCTGTATATACGATGATGATGCAAAAAAGGACCACAGATCAGTGCACATACACGGAGGTGAACGTGCTCATATTTGCGAACCTGTAGCGAAGGTAAGTGAATACCACCCCTGCCACAGATGGCTTCCATCAAGGGATGCATAGGAGCATGGAATTTTAGACCTAAAGGGCCCCATAAGGATCATCTTGGCTATGGAATTCTGAAATCCACATATCTTAAAGTTGTCAAGTTTCAAGTCCAATCCTACATAATGTTCAGGAAAAGTAGTATAGGCAGTGCTCGACTTATGACCATAGTTAAGCCCAAAATGTTGAAGGCAATAGTTAAGTGTGGGTTCTTTTGCCCCTGTTTTACAACCTTTCTGGCCACAATTGTTAAGTGAATCATTGCAGCTAATAAGTTAATAACACAGTTGTTAAATGAATCTGGCTTCCCCATTGATTTTGCTTGTCAGAAGGTCAGGCTTTGTCTAGACTAATTCTGTCTTTTGAGCGCAAAATGTTATATATATATACATATACATATACATATACATATACATATACATATACATATACATATACATATACATATAACATACATATATATATATATATAATATATATATATATATATATATATATGTTCATAGATTTTCACAGGTAGAGGTATGCAAGTTTTGGTGTATTCGGGTCTTTTCCCATGTAAGATTGAGAGTATCTTGGCGACGTTTCGATGAGGTCCCACTCATCATCTTCAGGCTGGTGTCTTCGGCTTCGTGCTTCTGCGAAGAAAGCGTGATCAGAGCTGCTGTCTCTCTATAAATACTGGTGGGAACTCATCAAGATGTAACAACACAGGCAACCAACCCGCTCACAGCAACAAAGCCACTACCCCACACCTCCCCACCAGTATTTATAGAGAGACGGCAGCTCCGATCACGCTTTCCTCGCACAAGCACGAAGCTGAAGACACCAGCCTGAAGATGATGAGTGGGACCTCGTCGAAACATTGCCAAGATACTCTCAATCTTACACAGGAAAAGACCCGAATACACCAAAACTTGCATATATACATATATATATTTGGAGAGCTCTGGAATTTTTTTTTTTATTATTTTTATTTTTTGCTCCTTCTGGGTTGAGATTCCTAAGCTGCAAAGGTATTCTAATAGTTGTCTTCTCAAGACAAGGAAAGTCTTGGCTTCTTTGATTCCAGGGAGGAAGCTGAGTTCAGCCCTACAAACTTAGCATCTACAAGCTCAATTATGTTCAGATTAAATTAAAAAAAAAGAAGCTAAAAACAGGATTTCCAAACTGTAAGAAAAGTCTTCTTGTGTGTATTGCCTTCCTTACATATATGATCTTGCAAAAACCCCCAAAATGTCCTGCAGGTTTACCTCTGGCTGGGTTCTTAGATCTTAGCTTC